GGAAGTTATGGTTCGGTTACCAATAGTGATGGTAGCCAGTTCAGCGGGTTCGCGCCGCGGACGCATTCGATCGAAGGCATTTTGGACAATGTTAGGAATTTCTTCTAGGTCCCCACGAACGCGAGATGGAGTCTCGTCAGGAGCTGATGGGTGAGACGAGGGTTCGTGGGAGATAGGGGTTGGCTCAGACTCTTCCTGGGCGGTTTGCCGCACGAAAAGCTCATCGTCGGAGATTTCCTCAGCAGGCGTTTCTAGCTCGGTTGGGGCTGGCGTCGACATCGAAGAGCGAGTGGTTGCAGCGCGGGGCGTTCTCATCGATCGAGCTGGAGATGGCGTAGCTTGCACACTTCCAATGCTCGCTTGTGAGCTCGCGAAGCGCTGAATCGCACTCTGTTGACTCGCCCCCGGTGTCTCTACTGAGCTTTCTTTCGTCTGATCTTGACTTGGACTTCTAAGCCCACTGCTTTCGCTCAGCTCCCGAGCAGTAACGAACCCTGGAAGTGATGCTAGTGGTTGCTGCTTTGGCAAAGGCTTTGGTTTAACCGATGACTGCGGCACAGTTTGATCCGCATCCTCGAAAAGCTGCGAAAGAGAAACTTTGAGTGATTCAATCATAGCCCCCGCATCATGAAGTAGAATTTGGCGCTTATCAGGCGAAACATTGACATCGTAAGCGTTTGTATCCATCTGAAAGTCCGCAAAGATAAACGCCGACTGCGAGACATTGAACGACTTGTAAACCTCGTTAAACGCTTTCTGAATCTGTGGCAGGCCACATGGCCGCGAGTTGACAAAGAACATCTGACGATCCGGGGTCTGACGGCCCTCGCCGAATACAGGACGTGAGATATGGCCTCGCACCTGAATTTTACTCAGTTGATCATCACCAGCCCGTTTCGAAGCCGCGGCAGGCTCAAACTCCAGCTCTAGATCAAGGGATATCAAAGCGGATAATGTCTTCGCGCCATAGACATTGGCAATATTCTCCTTGGTTGTCTTATTTCCATTTGTAGAAAAGACCACCACATTCCGTGTCTTGCCCACAGTGTTCCTGACGCTGAATCGGACTCCAGTGCTAATGCATGCATAGGCATGTAGCAGATTCAGAACTTTCCCGTATTCCCGCTTGATGTTCTTCTCTAATTCTCGCCGGCGTACTGGAAGCCGCTTGAAGATGCCTTCTACCGATGCGGTCGTTCCTTTCTGCCCAGCAACGATCTGTGTCTTTCCGAGTTTGCCGGATTGTTCAAAATCGAGTCGATTCGCGCGGGGAACTTGCTTTTCTTGTGCTGTGACGATGTGGAAGTCGGACAACGCGCAGAGTGAGGATATCGCCTCACCCCGGAAACCAAAGGTGTGCAGGCTCGAGAGGTCATCGTATGACGATAATTTGGAAGTATAGTGTTTCAATGCTAAAAAAAAAGAGGGAATCAGCTTGAGGGCAAGGTACCAAGGGAGAAGTGACAACTCACCGACGTTCTCATAGTTCTCCGGCGAGATCCCGCTGCCGTTATCTTGGACCTCAATTAGGTCCAGTCCATTATTCTTAAATCGGACCTCTGAAATCCTCAAAATCATTAGAAAGCGTGTCACAAATCATATCCGAAACGTTATTCACCCACCGATTGTCGTTGCGCCGGCATCCAGACTGTTTTCAACAAGCTCTTTGGCGACAGAGCACAAGTCAACGATGACTTGACCTGATTGGATTTGGTGTACCTAATTAATACGCTGGTCAGATCGGGACTTTGCGGAAAGACATCAAATTTCATACCGAGCGGGCCTCGATGGCTTGGATTGTCGCCATCTTCATCCCATAATGTCTGCGGAGGATAAGTTGGCACGCGTCTCACTTAACGCGTGGGTTTGCCAAGACCACGGTGGGCCGGTAGAATATGACAGCTCTATACATTCGATGACGCCCCTGTTCTATTCTACCCAAGGCTTTATTTGCTCTGCAAGAATGTGGATATGTTCATTTAATTGTCTAGCATTTCAATTACGGATATAAATCAAAACGGACGATCAGGAGCAACATATCGCTGTTAACGCGCAAAACCAATCCCAAAAAAAACTAATAAACACCAAAGCGATCCGGTAACATAACAGGCGCGACCAGAGTCCACAGATAGATAGCATAGCAAATCCAGGAGCTGACAATCTTCACCCAGCTGGCCCAGTATGTGCGACCTACCGGTGCGAAATCTGTCGTGGTCTCCAGCGTCAGTCCCTGGACCAACAAAGTGGCCACCCACGTCGTGGCGAGGAAGAAGATGATGTGGAAGAGCGAGTAATTGTATTGGGTTGAACCACGCTCGTCGTCCTTCGCGGTGTCGAAGTCATCCTCGTCATCACTATCATCCAGGGCACTAGCAGGAAGACTACCGCTCTCAACAGCAGCCCGGAGAGCTTCAGCGCGCATCTCCCGACGGGCGTTTGGTTGCTGGGTCACCAAACCGTGCTCGTTGTCATCTGTACCCAGCTGGATGTAGCTATGACCGCCCTTCGATCCCAAGGCAATTCCTTGGGTGGCAGCGCGTGTGGTGGTGTATGCGATGGTCAGCATAGTGACAATCGCACCAATGACGATAGTGGCAGTCCTGGTGTTGCTTCCGCTGGACCGAATAAGTGGGTTGCAATTCTTGTCATCCGGTTCCATCGAAACAGCAGACATGGTGAGGTAGGTGCAGTAGACAGTGACCATTGCAGCTTGAGCCAGTCCTGCACGAGGGTTCGATTCTTGCACTGCTGGTTGAACAGAAACGAAAGAGATGATCAAAAACACGATCAGGTTAATCTGTGACGAGTCAGTTGGGCACCAAGATTTGTGGTACGGGAGATACATACGGTGATAGCAGCCTGGTTCATAGAGCAACCGCTGTTCGCGAAAAAGATGTACATCAGTATGGTCATAACCAAAGATGCCAAGTACATGCCGAGGGTCGAACCAATAAGCAGACCGCGCCACACACGAGAGTCGCTGTCTTCGATCTTCTGCAGACATAGCTCCGCCCACGAGTGCGCAAGGTCCACCAAAAGGATCAACCCCAAAAGCAGAAATAGCATAGCGCAGAAGAATGCGATATAGTTGCCATAGACGAAGAAGAAGGGTTCGGGGATAAAGAAGGACATGACGACAAAGACCACCCAGAGGATGACCTTCGGACCCCAGAACCCATTCTGAAGAGCGGCGCGAGTATCTTTCGAACTTTTAACCCCGAGAAGTAAAAGGGCGAGGATCAAATGGAAGAGACCGAGGGCAAAGTTGATACGATGGACTGCGACCCAGCCATGACATTCCTTCCCATCGCATCGAATCTCCATATAATCTAGGGTCAAATTTTGCAATTTTTTCAGAGCCCATGGTGTGAGCATAATCCAGGAAATTATGGAATTGATCAAAAGGATGAAGGCATAGGCGATTCTCGTCGCCATACTGTTGTCCTTGTTAGTCCGAGGTTCTCCGCACTAGGCAGCTGATAAGTGGTACCTGTTTTGAAACTTTCCGCAAGCGCTGCATACAGCAGAACATGTCGCTGCTCCACAGCATGATGTTGCGACTGTCAATAGCTGTTGAGGGTGAGAATCAAGTTAGCCAACTGGGCAACGAGCGTATCGGTGAACTGGAGATTGGTAGGAGACAACATACTGTACCAACACTCGGCACAGCCAAGAGCGGAATGGAAAGGAGGGCACCCATCTTGGGAGTGCAGGTATAGTATAACCCACTGTTCTGGTGGTAATTTATGACCTTAGAAGTGAATCTAGATCCAGAATCGATGAGAGTGTGGAGAGACGCAAGTGATCAGAATTGAAGATCATCACCTGAGGCCGCCTCCGTCATTATCGTTACGTAATATCTCCAACTGGAAAATATATCACGTGCCAAGTCTCTTTTGGCCTGCCCATTTAGGATTAGCCTTTTCACCCCCGCCATGACCCTCGACATTATCAAGATTCTTTTTCATAGCACTGGAGGAACTACTCCGTACAAAGGTATCGATTTACTCGGTATTTTATTCGAGCCAGTTCCTAGGTGCTGGTGAGACCATCTACAATGAAAGAAAAGTGATACGCTTATCTCAAGACAATATGAGAATATGTGTACATCGAAGATAACTATTACTCCTATAATGTCATATATATATATATATGTATATACACGAAGCAACAGATTTCCTCTGTCACTACGCAAACTATTCTTTCCACTTAAAAATGAATACAGGGAAAATTAACGGTATAGGTGATATTACAAAGCTCAAAAATTTACCTGGGTGTTATAATATACTTTCATGGTAGATACATATATACATACCTACCTATACATAGGTAGGTATACCCATGGCAGTGCAGGTGACAAATAGTAAACTGGGTTGATGGTGTTTTAACAGGCAAAATCACAGTAAGAGTCAAAACCAGGCATTAACGAGGTCTTTTAAGGCATCAAACCCGAAAATTAACGCCTTATCGCGTGTGGAGAAACCGAATTTAGCCATGTAATCGAACTATGACGAGTCCCGATTCGCGCAATCCCGGAGGATTTGACGGCTTTGCATAATCTTGATGTGTGTTATCGGGGATGCAACGTAGGACTAAGACGACAGAGTACATCCACTACATTCCATCCCTCTTTTTTTTCCCGTTTCCTTTCACAATTTCTTTATAAATCAATTCATTCTCCATCGTATTTACATATCAGTTGACGTGGAGCAAACTTTCCTTGGCGCTTGCTTGACGGCTGTTCCGACCACGCGGCCCCCCCGGGATCACCTCCAAGTCCTTACCTAAGTGTACGCTCCTGAAAACTCCCAGGTGGCCTTCTTCCCTCAATTCTCCTATATAACTCCATTCGCTCTTTTCACTATTTCCGTCTTTCATTTCGGGTCCGATGTTTCTGTCAGTGTCGGCCGCACATCTGTCTAGGGCCTAATCAACTGCTCCCGCCGCTAAACCACTTGGATCGCACAAGATATCAAAACGACTCCTAGAGGAACGACATAATGTCTGATTCTCTCCACCGAACTGCCCGGATTATTTCCGTTATTGCGGGGACGCTGGTCGCCCTATCATGCGGAACCAATGTACGTGATATCTCCGATCTTATCCCCATTCAGGATCATTAAGCTTAACTTGTGTCAGTATGCATACTCCGCGTGGGCGCCGCAGTTCGCACAGCGAATGAAGCTCTCTTCGACCGAGAGCAACTTTATTGTGAGTTGTTCCGTGTCCGGTGCCGGGAAGCGGATCTTAACAAGCTCTAGGGTGTCGCGGGGAACCTGGGGATGTATGCTATGGGTATTCCAATGGGATTACTGACAGATTCCCGCGGTCCACGACTTGTCGCGCTTATCGGCTCTATTTGCCTGGGCCTGGGCTACTTCCCAATCTATATGGGTATGTTTTGATACTAGCGTGCCAGAATTGAGCAGCTCTAATGTTTTATAGCATATGATAATGGCCAAGGATCGATGCCGGTTGTCTTCCTATGCGTCTTCACTTTCCTTACTGGAATGGGTGGTTGCGCTGCCTTTGGAGGTTCCATCAAAACAGGTATGTTACAAATGCACACCAAGGACCTCGACAGAGTTAACACAACGATTCTAGCTGCAGCCAACTTCCCCGAACACCGCGGCACGGCAACCGCTTTCCCAATGGCCGCCTTTGGACTGAGCGCGCTATTCTGGTCCAATTTGTCGACCCTCGTTTTCAAGGACGATACTGGCCGCTTTCTTTTGCTTCTAGCCCTCGGAACCTCGATTCTGTCTTTTACCTCAATTCCATTCCTTCGAATCCTCGCCAGCGAGCCGTACTCGTCCATCCCACACACCGCACACGAACACAACCCCAGCGACCTTCGATCTGTGCCAGAAGAATCCGATCTACATGGCTCTACCGCGTTTTCTCGCGAACAATACCCCGCGCATGCGCGGTCGCACTCGGCTGCATCGAACTCTCAAGGCAGAGCATTCGCCAATGACGACGAGACTTCCACCTTGGTACCCAAGCACGACCGCCCACGCCCCTCTTTCGATACACTTGACGATGACTTCCTGGACGAAGTGGCCATTGAGGCGCACCAAAACGACATCAGAGGTGTCGCCATGCTCCGAAAAGTCGAGTTCTGGCAACTCTTCTTGACCATGGCACTCTTGTCCGGTATCGGCTTGATGACCATCAACAACATTGGTAACAGTGTGAAGGCCCTATGGCTATACTACGACGACAGCGCAACAGACCTGTTCATCCAACACCGCCAGGTCATGCACGTCTCCATTCTTTCTTTCGGCAATTTCCTTGGCCGTCTATTCAGCGGTATCGGCTCTGACTTGCTAGTCAAGAAGCTCGGCATGTCCCGCATCTGGTGTTTATTCTTGTCGGCGGTAGTCTTTACCCTGACCCAGCTTGCCGGAACCACCATTTCCAACCCGAACAGCCTCGTCGTTGTCTCCGGTTTTACTGGAATTGCTTATGGCTTCCTGTTCGGCGTCTTCCCTTCTCTAACGGCACACACATTCGGTATCGGTGGCCTGTCCCAGAATTGGGGTGTCATGACGCTAGCCCCTGTATTCAGTGGTAACGTTTTCAATTTGCTATACGGTAGCATCTACGATGGACACTCTGTTGTCGGCCACGATGGCGACCGCGAGTGCCCCGATGGACTAGGCTGCTACCGCACAGCCTATTTCATGACTTTCGTTTCCGGGTTGTTTGGTATCGCTGTTTGCCTGTGGACCATTATCCGCGAGAAGAACATCAATAACGTCATGAGCAAGAAACTGGACCACCGACTCGCGTGAGTTTGATGATATTTTTCCCCGTCAATTTGGATTATGAAGGTGCAGCACGACCTACGTGGCAAGCATGGGCTTATGAATTGCTTGCTTGCACATTTGCCTAGATCTCTTTGCGATTTGTTATGACTTCTCATAGAGTACATTTTATGAGGGATGTTATTTGGCTGGTGTCCTTATTTGGTATACCCACGATGCACTGTTTTCTCCATAGACTTAGTACTTTGCGTCTGGCTTTTTTTCTGTGGTTTACCCTAGCTTTCCATGGGCCAGAACATGGCCAATTTCTTTACTGTACACCTGGAGATCGTGCCGTATTCTTCAACCTATCCAAGTACATAGTAGCTATTTGCTTCGATCTCAATCTAATTGGAGGATGTCCTTCAATATTCGTTCTCAATTGCATAAATGTACCATGCCGCCACATCTACGCTATGTTTGAACAATCTCCTAAGATTGCTATGACCCGAAGATTTGCATGACACTTTCATTTCCCTCCTAGCATACATGTAGATATCGCAACACAGAAAGCGAGAACGTTCGTTTAAATCAATCAAAAACAGAAAACCCGGCCCGTAGACCTGTCAAGCTGGCCTAAATCAACCAAAAACGGTTGCATTGCTCCATGAAAGCAGCAAACTGAAATAATAATGATTGCAAGCACCAACCAGCACATTGAGAGAAACATCCCAGGAAAAACACCCGGATGACGGGACATTTCCCAGTTGGACCACTGATCCATTGATCTTCCGGAGATTTGAGTTCTGGAAGAAGAGAAGGATAGGGATCAAGTATTGTATTAGAAGCATAGTGAAGGAGTTCGTACAGCACAGCGCAAGGAAAGCAAATTAAAACAAGACGTTTGGGGAAACGTTCGCAGATAAGAAAGTAAGAGAAACTGAGACCATTCAATAGTATGTAGCTTTTTTGGGTTAAAGTTCCAGTCAGTGATGACGAAGGAGCCATGAAGGGTATCAAGAATATCAGAGGTTGGGAGCAGAGTAGTAAGCTTAATGTAGGTTGAAAGCTTGTACTACCCGTAGACCGATGATGGAGTGAAATAAGCAGATGGGAAAGGGCCTGAAATAGTAAGGTACCGCAAGACCTAAACGCTCTTGGGAGATTTGACCAGCACATCCTCGCCAGATTCCACAACATCCGACAGCCGGATCTTTTTCGCGACCGGTTCGCCGGACTCGGCGTCACCAGTGCTGCTAGAGCCAAGCTGGCGCTCGAGATCGCTAACGCGACGCTTGAGATCCTCCTCGCGGCGCTGAGCATCCTCGAGAGACCGTCTCAAACGAACCTCGGAGTCTCGCACAATCATCTCCGATCGACGGGCGCTGGCGTCACTCTGTTCGAGTTCCGTGACGCGACCGCGGAAGAGCTCGTTGACGAACTCGAGTTCACTAACGCGTGTTTTCAGGGATGTATTGAGGGCTAGGAGGCTTTCGAATGTGTGGGGGGAATCGAGTTGGCGGTCGACTGCCGAGGGAGAGGGTTGGCGCATCTGGCGGGAGGGGAGGCCGCTGGAAGAGGTCATGCTATCGCCCAGGGTAACACTGTCAAACATGTGCTGCGGCGCGATATTCGAGTTGTGCGCGTGCATCGAGCCAAAGCCAGGTGTCTCGGTCCGGGAAACGGGGGAGTTGGAGCGATCCGAATGACCCGAGGACATCTTGCGCGACGCGCGACGGTATCCATGAGAGCCGAGGGGAGGGGTCCCCGCCTCAGATCGCGGTGGGATGCCATTGGTATCGACAGGGCCGCCAGACTACGGGATCACAATCTCGATTAGCGCATGTTCTTATCTACGAAAGGTGGAACTTGGAGGCAGGGGGACCGGGGGAGGAAAATTTTTTAATCGCGAACTCACCTTGCGCTTAGGGCCCTGACCAGTCTTGACGCGATTGCGACTTTTAATCACATCTGTTTTCAAGCTTATCGGACGAGGTCGGCCATGCAGTTTCAAGAAGAGTCCACATGCGTTGCAGAGGACTGAACCGAGTTCGTCCCTCCGCCACAGAGGGGTGGTAGAGGTACCGCAATTTTGGCAAACGGGCTGTAATTGAGGTCGCTTGTCGTCAGTCAATGTGGTCGCCATTATGAGGGTATAGAAGTTGGGAAGAGGAAGAGGATGATAAGATTGTGAGAGATTTGAGTCGATAAGGAAAGGGAAAAAGCGGGTGCACGGATCGAGTGGCGCCAAGACTTTTGATAACTCCCCAGAGATAAGACCACGCGCGATAACAGTTTCTTGATATAAGGGCATATTTCAACACTTACAGGTCCACTCCCTTGCCCTCCTGTCGTAGCTGCCGGTGATGATGTAGCGTATGTCATATTTGCCATATTCATACTTGCATCACTGGATGAACTAAAAAAAAGGGAGTTAAAATATATGGATTAGCCAACTGATTCGAATTCTTATGAGGGGCCAGATTACTGCTCTCCAGGGCCCGATTGAAGATTACGCAAACAAGATAGATCGTCCAAAAGGTCCACGAATGGTTTCCATTTAGAATCTGTATGGGGTATCAACACACCGAAGATTAGAGGTAGGCGCTGAAGCAACCGAGGCCAGAGCTGCGAGTCCAGGAAGCGATGTGCTAACAGAAGAGCCTGGATATCCGTCACTCTCGCCTGAGCTGAATTTGGTCACGCTTTTGATATCCGGTAGTGTTGTAGAAAACGGTATGGATCCGTTGGACGCGTGACGGGCGGAAGAATTCTCGGCGGACAAGTCGTAAGGGAACTCGCGCTCCTGTGGAGAACCAGATTTGAGAGCCGGGTCGATGGGCGACGCCCGATAGAGGGTGGAAGCCACGGTGGAGGGGAAAGGTAGGTGTCAATTGAAATCCGGCCCTAGACCGAATTGAAGGCGAAACGGTATATATAAAGCGAGTCGCGCGACTGATGGGATTGGGGACGAAGGACTCGGAGTCAATGGGTCTATATCACGCCAATTAATTCCTTGGTGATCAATGCGATGTGGATTTGCGAGCAATGATTCTCGATACCGTACAGGATGGAGAGTATTAGACTTCCCGACAATTATTGTGCCTGAAGAAGTTACTAAGACCAAAAAAAAGAATGAAGTTTTAAATTAACGACATGATGGCCGAAGATAGGTGAGGGTAGGGGTTGAAAGAAGATGCAGAATTGAGATGAACGATAAGACGCGATAATAACAATCGGGATAACGATTGCCCCAGTATCAACCACTATTTAAATTACGGCATGTCAGGGGGCCAACGTTCAATGTTTTAATATTTTGTCTCGCAAAGAATGTATTCAATTCAATTAACCTGCTTTGTTCTGCTTCTTCATTCTAGACCCCAGCCTCTTGATACTAGGAAGCGCGACAATCAAACCCATTCTGCGCTATCTGATTTGCTTACGGGTGATCAACTCCTAGACGGGGTTTTATGCGTATAAAATTTCATGCACCAGAGCGGATATTTGCCAGCGTGGCGGATTTACCAACATTGACCGTCTATATGGAGTTACCATCCCCTGAATATCCCAATTCGTCATTGAGGGGTCCCGTATGGAGATCAATTGCGGTTCCAGCCCTGTTTCAGGGCTCTGAACACACAGCACTCGATGCATCCATCCATCGAGACCCCCTTTCGATTAGGGGGTGGAGACAGAGTGTGGCGGTGCGTAATTGTATAACCGTCATCAACAAAGTGATCTGCCAGTGCCACACAATTTACCCCATTCTGCCGTTAATTACAACACCGCCTGTGTAAATTAACTGTAACTGTACTTTCGGGACGCCCCCTTGGGCGTCCGGACATAGGTGACACTTATTTCAACTGCCTTCACTTCTATCAACTCTCTATTCTATCCACCAGTGGTCTTTTCATTCTCTTGTCTTCTCTGTGATGGATTAACCTCTTTTGGTGTCCTTTCGTTCTTTTGCCGGCCTTCCTCTCATTTTCCTACGAGTTATTTTGCCCGTTTTCATCTCCCCATAGATCGAACCACCTCAATCACAATGCCGAAGACTCGTCCTGCCACCTCGGGATACGCCCGGCTCGCCCAGGCCGAAGAGGAACGAGGTTACCTTCATGATGAATCAGAGGACGAAGACATCGGCGCGTTATCAACAGCGTCCACCTCCGCTCCCCGATACGCCCCCATCTCCTCCAGAGCCCAGATGCAGGCGTCCGGTCTCCACACTCCCCCAGGCCATCGACGCAGACACAGTGGTTTCCAACATCCTCGAGGTCGTCGGAACTCTGGGGTGGATATCAAAGCCATCAATGCGCGTCTCGAAAAATGGGCGGACGAGATTGCCTCCAAATTCAAGATCAACCGTGTCAAGGGCAAAAGCTATGAGGAGGAGAAGCTGGAGATTTATCATTCAGTCTTCCAGGCACCTCCTGGAGTTACCCCCGTGAGCGCCGAAGCTCTCGAGTCAGATGAGTTTGAAGCTCAACAACGGCGGGCCCACGCCGAGTACGAGGAGATCATCGAAAGTGTGCGTCTTGCAATTGAAATGGACATACATCCTCGGATGATCTCACAAGGAAGTTCGGGCAGCTACTTTGCTCGAAACCCTGAAGGGAAAGTGGTTGGTGTGTTCAAGCCAAAGGACGAAGAGCCGTACGCCTCACGAAATCCCAAATGGACGAAATGGATTCACCGCAACTTGTTCCCCTGCTTTTTCGGCCGTGCGTGTCTCATTCCCAATCTCTCCTACGTCTCCGAAGCCGCCGCATACGTTCTCGACGCCCGCCTACGCACGAACCTCGTCCCTTACACCGGCATTGTACGACTGTCTTCGAGATCGTTCTTCTACGATTTCTGGGATCGGAGAAAGGCATGGAAAGGCAAGAAAGTTCTGCCTCCTAAGGCTGGTAGTTTCCAAGTCTTCCTCAAGGGATTTAAGGACGCCAACATTTTCCTCCGAGAACATCCCTGGCCCGACCAGACGAATACTGGATTCCGCGCCCAGGATGCTCCGAAGCGCAAGAAGCGGCCATGGAATGAGGCCTGTCGTCCATCGGGGGCACAGTCAGATGACGAGGATGACGAAGATCCGGGCTATGTGCCCTCGCCCGCCGGTTCGCGTGACGAAAGTGCTGAGCGCCGATTCTATTGGACTGAGAATCTCAAGCAATCCTTCCGCGAAGAGTTGGAGAAACTTGTGATTCTGGATTATATCATGCGAAATACCGATCGAGGGCTGGACAACTGGATGGTCAAGATTGATTGGGGAACAGAGCAAGTTTCTATTGTGGCAGAACCTCCAAAACAAACTGGGCCACAGCCTAAGCACGATGAAGACGAGCTTATGCCCCCAGCGCGCCCTGTTTCCGTGAACTCGAATGGCACCCCCAATTCTTCCGTCCACCCCTACAAGCGGCATGAAACCATGATGGCTATCAGTCGCACGGGAACCCCACTAGCCTCATCGGAACAGTCAGCTTCTGTCCAGCTTGGTGCCATTGACAACAGTCTGTCCTGGCCATGGAAACATCCAGATGCTGTAAGTTTTTGAATTCACTTGTAATTTTTACTTTCCAAGACTGACAACTTTGTAGTGGCGCAGTTTCCCCTTCGGTTGGCTTTTCCTACCGGTGTCCTTGATCGGACAACCCTTCTCACAGAGAACCCGTGACCATTTCCTTCCATTACTGACGTCCACAGCCTGGTGGAGTGGTACACAGATGGCCTTGCGTGGTGTCTTTGCGCAAGATGATGATTTCAAAGAGAGCATGTTCGCTCGACAAATCGCTGTCATGAAAGGTCAAGCCTGGAATGTGGTGGAAACATTGAAGCAACCGGATCATGGCCCGCTTGAGTTGACTAGACGGACCCGAGTCTGTGTATGGGATGACTTGGTTGACGTCCCTGTTGCTATTCCGATGCGCGCGCCTTCCACAGACAGACAAAGGAACCAATCTATGAATTACGACCCTGATGAAGAAGAGATGGACATCGGTGCATCCGCATCTTCCCAACCAATTCCCGAACACGATTTATTGGGGCTGAATTCGTCGCCAAGCGACCTCCCCAACCCAAACCGGTTCGAACTCACCCGCGGTCGAACTGACATTGACAGCGAACGTGCTGATGGTTCTGTCGGTAGCCCTGCGACTATAAATGACTTCGGTGGCCGAAACACCGGGGGTTCTCTAGATGGATGGCCTTCACTTCCTCCCCGCCAGCAAAAGTATCGCAAAAACGGCGGGGCCACGTCCTTCCGCGTTCCTCATGTTAACACTTTTGGTAGCGATGATCTCGAAGGTGACCTTGGCTATGCAGTTGCAGAGGGCATGGAAGGCAACCAGCGCAAGGTGATTGTCGAGCGCTTGGAAGCTGTCAAGAGCAAAAACCCTGTTTTCACCTGGTGCTAATGTCAGATTGTGCTGTACTACCCTTTGCGCTTTTTCACTTTTTTTTACATTCTTCCCTTCTTCTTTTTCATTTAATATGCAGCCATCTTCTGCGGCGTTGTCTTCTCAGGGTATTTGTTGGGTCCCCGTCCTGAGGGAAACGGTTCCCAATTCCTGTTCACGATTTCGACTGTGTCTTTTCTTTTTTTTTTTTTCCGTGACATTTCACACGAGTCCTTTGCTGGACATGCTCATGATTTGGGGGATTTCCGTGTTGTATATAGACATTCTCTGGCCGTTGGGGTTGCCTTTGGCTGTGGCGCATTGATTGGGCGATCTGCCTCATGTAGCATATTGACGAGACTTAATTCCATGATACCTTTATCACCTAATTCTCTCTTCTTTTTTTCCCAACTATATTGACCAAGTTAATAGTAGCGCATGTGACCGTAGTGTGTCACAAGATATAAATCCTAACCCAGGCTGGGGTAGGGATAACCAGTACTCAACTCCTGAGGCTCCAGAATCTCATAATGCTGAAAATAATGCCAGGGTTTGATGCAATAGTCCCTCGGGTAAGACTTTGTCGACTGCCTGCATGACTTTGTTTTGTGAGACATCATTTGAGCCATCGCAAACGCGCCTGGGCTAGGCTCAAACAGATAAACAATCCATAACCGTGACCATTCACTTGTTCAGATACCTACATGCAAGAATAGTCGCCGCATATGAAGCCTTGTCACATCTTTTTAGTAATATTTTTGGTAGTCCTTTTGAAGGTCTTTTTAGATCTGTTCTAGATGTCGTGTTGTAGCTGTATTATAGATGGTAAAAAAAGGCTGAAAATGTGCAAAGGGCCTTTTGATGTATACTCTTTGATATACGTAGCATACGCCATGCATTAAAGTATTATACACGGAGATAAAAAGCTAAAAAAAAAGCATCCAACCCTTGAGATCCAATATATCTCCACGATCTATAGAAAATGATCTGGGGTCGACTAGGCTCGGTGGGGACCTTGTCACGCGTTTAGATGTATACACTTTTTGCTCTCTCATATTTTAAGCATTTCTTCCTAGACTCGTCAACTTACAGTTTTATTTATAAGTTAATATATGCCCATTCAAGTATTTACAAGGTTGCGTTCCATCACACCAATTGGATATCTGGAAGCGCGCGCGGACTGATAAGATCTTATCGGCGGGTTTCTCCGAGGCACCGACTCCAGTGGAGGAACAACTTCGTCATTTCGAGTTTCTAGTGCCACGACTGAGCTTACGACTGACTCGAGCAAACAAGTCGCGCGAACCGAGATACGCACGGCGAGAATACTCGAGGTCAAGGACACTTCCCTCGCAAGAGCCGGCCACAAACTTGATCACACGATTCCCTCGACGAGGCAAACGACAAGGCGCCGACTGGATTGCGACCAGGAAAACGACGTGATTTACCCCAGGGTATAGACGTTGACGACCGAGACAAAACATCGCAACTAGTGTTGCCCGCGATTCTCTTCAATATTTCTCACTTTCAATGACGCCGGATATTTCGCGACTCTCGCGTCTGGAAGACGCACCTTTCGTTAACCACACCATTTGCGTAATCACCCAGCTGCGACGTTAATATTTGATAAGCGACATCAAGGCTCAAACGTCTTGAACTTGATTGATCCGCCCTCACAAGCAAAACCCACGACCAGTTGGGCAGATAAGCAATCTGAAACCGCAATCGCCTATCTCTCATCCCAAACCACCTGACACCGCTGCGAACACTTCTCAATTTCAGCTTGCACGTAAAGCTTGCCAGTCCGAAGGAACTGGGTCTCGTACTTCTTCCACAGCAAGTGAACCAATATCCTGTCCTGTTCTCTCTCTCATCAACTGACTTCCATCAGTTCGGTTTCACAGTACCGCCCAACATTGGATCCGACCAAACCTTACCCCGGATTTCTCAACCGCGATTGAGACATAATGGCGTCTCATGCTGCGATGCTTCTGAATCCCAAGGGCTCCAAAAGACAAGCTCAAAGCAATGGTAATCCTCCCTTTTCTTCTTCCCCAGCGAGTGATTTGCCTCCCATGGATGCTGTCGATATGCCCCGCGAGGTTGTCCCGGACAACTCTGAGTCTATGAATTATTCTCCTGCGCTTCCTTCTCCTGATTCTCTTGGTTATTCTTCGCATGCTTCTTCGCCCCCTTGTGTGGCTACAATGGATACCTCGGCCACGCCTAGAGACCTTCTTGACGCACCTGAGGCTCTTGTCCATCTTGACACCCAGATGGATACTCGGGACATGTGTACAAACATGATGCATCCAGCTGAATCTTGTGTCGCTTCTACCCCTCAGATGGATACATCGGTTATGCATGCGAAGTCTCTTGGCCCGAGTGACTCTCCCCCCATTGTGCTCCCAATTCGCTTGATCCATCTTCGAGTCTTCCTTCACATAATTTATCTTTTCTTGTTACTTCTCCCCCGGCAGACCCCATGATTCTCGACCCCACGGATTCCCAAGGCTTACTTTTGGAAGGTCTAGGAAAAAAACAGGGAAATGGTTCATCTCCTGCCTCTCCCATGGCCCCCACAGGCACTGCAGCCGCTACACACTTTCATGAACCCACCATTCACACCTCTCCAAGTGTGCCGTCGGGAGTCTCAACCCCGGCTGTGAAGTCTGAATCCAGTCTGGCAGTGCAGTTCAGCACCACCCATGATGAAGACAACGAAAGCGACACCAAAAGAAGTCACCACGAGATGACTGATGAGGAGGATATTGTCCACCGACCCAATTTGATCGAAGACATCTATGGCGTTGAAAAGCGGAAGAACAAACTAACGAAAAAAATAAAAACTGAGCATGACGTGGAAGAGAAACCGAACATGGCCACAGCGCAGGTCTCGATCTCTGGAGATAGCGGGCTTGGGAAGTGGATGAAAGAGGAGGATGCGAAACCAACCCCAATCTCCACTACACCCAGCGTTGTGGATTTGACAGCAGGTATGAGACGGTTATGTCCCGTTTCTCCTGATTTTGCTTTGAACTAATCTAATATTATTTTAGACCCTGCGGATACACCTAAGGACGATGACGAAGTCCTATGCACTGGTTCAACAGATCTCAGCACCCAGCGTGTCTGCTTCGGTAAAGTCGAAAATGCACTGGTTTGTGCCCATACGGTCCCAAAACCAGGTGCCTCCGTATTTACCGACTGGTCGCACGCTTGGCCGTCAATCAAATTAGAGCTGCAACGCCAACCGGTTCAGGGAAATTTTCAGATTGAGGTCGCGGACCCCCACGGTAAAGTTTTCGGTACAATTGACCCTAAAACGGCGCGAGGACTGGTTCCGCTCATGGACTCCAAAATGAACACCATCGAAGTGACGGGCTTATTAGATATCCGGAGAGCCTCGCCCAATGAAGTAATTTGGGCTCCTATCTCAGGGATGTGGCGTGCAACCCTCAATATCTATGGCCAAAGAAAGCACGCAGAGGCTGTCGGGAACTTCCTATCCCACCGCAACATCTGGCTAGGAACTCCGAATTCCGTGGACAAAGGAACTACTGTGTTCAATCCACACGCGGAGAGCCGTCGCCAACTTGCCGCCGCAACCGCTGCCGCCAACAACGCCGGGCGGTCTCGCCCAGGGCCAACCGTCCGATATGAAGCGCGAACTGTCGAAGAAGCCAATGATGCAGTCATGAAAATGTTCGACCAGCTCGCTAACGCCAACATTCCGACGATGGAGCCGTCTCATCACGTCATCACACCAATGCTGCATCACCAAAAGCAAGCGCTTTGGTTCATGACAGAGAAAGAAAAGCCGCGCAAATACGGCCGAAAAGAAGAAGATAACAATTCCTTGTGGCGAATGGAACGTACACCTAATGGGAAGACTCAATACCGCGAAATCATCACTGGAATGATCTCAGAGCAAAAGCCCGAGGAGGCTCTAGGGGGCTTGTTGGCCGACATGATGGGCCTGGGAAAGACCCTGAGTATTCTTTCGTTAATCACGTCATCGCTTGGGTTAGCTGAAGACTGGACTGAGATGGCTCCTGATCCTGCCCTTGTTCGCCAAGTTCCTGGAATTCGCAACACACGGACAACACTATTAGTTGTTCCGTTGAGTGCAGTCAGCAACTGGACGACACAGATCACAGACCATCTTAAGCCACGCTCCATTAGCTATTACATCTTCCACGGTCAATCGCGCATCACTGATTCCAGCCTGCTTTCCGAGTACGATATCATTATCACGACATACAGCACCATTCTCAGCGAGATCTCAGGGCGTGGCGCCAAAAAAGGAAAACTCAGTCCTTTGGCGAAAATGAACATGTTCCGGATTGTTCTTGACGAAGCTCATATCATCAGAGAACAAAATGCGGCACAGACCAAGGCGATTCTTGGGCTTAACTGCGAGCGTCGGTGGTCTGTTACTGGAACCCCAATCCAAAACCGCATGGAAGATCTTCTCTCTGTGACCAGGTTTTTACGGATCACGCCATACGACCAAAGAAGCCAGTTTTCCCAACACGTATCTAGCCCGGTGAAAAATGGTGATCCCAATGTGCTTGCCAGGTTGCGAGTTCTCGTGGATTCATTCACCTTGCGCAGAGTCAAGGACAAAATCGATTTGCCGCCCCGGACAGACAATGTCATCACACTGAAATTTACCGAGGAAGAACAGCAATTGCATGACTTCTTCCGCGCAGAATCAAATGTCATGATGAATGTCATTGCCGGTGAGCACAAACGCACGATGGGTGGCCGGATGTATCACCATGTTTTGAAAGCCATGATGATTCTCCGCCAAGTCAGTGCACACGGGAAAGAGCTTCTTGACGCTTCAGACCGGGCGAGAGCCAAGGGATTTTCTGTCAACGACGCAATTGACTTGGAGGAGGGCGAACCGGACACAACCCCGGCAGCCATGGACAAGAAGGCATATGAAATGTTCGCCTTGGTTCAGCAAGCCTCAACCCCCCGATGCTGCACTTGTAATCGAGAACTCAATGAACCTTTGAATTCAATGGGGGCTGTCGCCCGTGACTCTCCGATGGCTATTGTCCTACCATGTTTCGATATTTTCTGCCCCGATTGCTTCTCTGGCTGGAAACAAGCATTCGATTCGAGTCCCGACACCCAGATCCCTTGTCCCAGGTGCGAAGGCTGGATTCACTTGAGATACTCGACCATCACACCTGCTGGCTTTGAAAAATATGTGGCCCAACAGGAAAATAACCGGCAAACCCGGAAGCTGGGCAAGAATCTGGGCGAATACGAAGGACCACACACCAAAACGATTGCACTAGTCAACTACCTCAAGGAAAGTGTTGAAGACAGCAAGAAGCTTGAAGGCGAGTCGCCTATCAAGAGCGTTGTGTTCTCTGGATGGACCTCGCACCTGGATCTTATTGAGATCGCCTTGCAGAACAATGGGCTTGACGGGTATACCAGACTTGATGGTACCATGGGCATTCCAGCACGCACCAAGGCGCTCGAGGAATTTGCTAAGAATGACAATATCAAAATTCTTCTGGCAACCATTGGTGCGGGTGGTGTGGCTCTGAATCTAACCTCTGCGTCGCGTGTTTTTATCATGGAGCCCCAGTACAACCCAGCTGCCGTTGCTCAAGCGTTTGACCGTGTTCATCGTCTCGGCCAAAAACGCCCTGTGCAAACCTACCAATTCGTCATGAAGGGCAGCATTGAGGAGAAGATAATGGACCTCGCCAGGAAGAAGCAAGAGATGGCCGATACGAGCCTGAATCGTGTGAAGCAAAGCAAGCGAGAGACCCAGGAAGATCGCATGCGTGAATACCGCAATCTTTTCAAATAGATTCCCTTATCTTTTGTTTTCTCGTTCCAGCTGTGCATGCTCTTCGCATGCTTCATGCTTCAGTTCCCAGTTCCCCATTTGCCCCTGCGTTTTTCCTCTTTGCTCCCTCCCCATTTGCTTTTTGATTTTATTTCTGCCCCAGTTCCGGTGGCTCAGTGATTTCTTTGTTTCTTTTTTTTTTTTTTTTTCATTTCATGATACCCGGAAAAGGAGAAGGCGTTAGTATCTATTCTTACATCTTTTATTCTCCTTATGATCATATCCCGGGCGTTTCTTTTTCATTTTTCATTCTTACGGCATAGGTTGCAAGCACGTTTATACACGGTTTGCTTGCTTTATCCATAGAAATACATTTATTTTCTGTGCCATTCATTGCGTTTAAAACATATTTACACGTGCACTAGATTCTACATACTTAGGATTTTACTTTAAAAGAGGGCATATGAGTCGAAATATGATACTAAGTAGAGGTGGATTGTTTATCCTCGTCGTATGATGAGATGCCATCTAATAGAAGAGTCTCCGTGAAGACAGCTTAGAAGGTGCAAACCAACGTACTTTTCTACGTATAACCAGGGCTAATAGCAATGCCACATTGTTCTTAATCGATTGAATGTCTTTTCTCTACTGACTTTGAAGGCGTACATGAACAACTTTGGGGAGGCTAGGCATGTGTATTATATTCTTATAGGAGACCTAACCCTAACTGGTGAACAATGTCTGTCCTAGGATAGTTCCTTTCCAGTCATGGTCTCCTGTAGTGATTTGATTCGAAATACATATTCATTGCCAATTCACAGACACAACAACCTTTTTTCTTCCATGAACTTCCACCGACAAATGCTTTGAATGCATGTATCAAAGAACCTCTAGGTTTATATACCACGGTCCTTCATTATTTCTAACCAACATCTCCCCCAACCCTGCTTCTTTTATACAGGTAGATAGGGATTATTATTAAATAATTTCTAGTCGACATATGACCAAAATCCTGCCTCACATTCGGTGGTTTTACTGTTTCCTTTCTATGCCTCTAGCCAAAAGAAGGTGCCCAAGAATGGACCTAATGACCCTTTCCCTACCATCTATGTTCTCTATCATGGAGTCTCATGAAAGATGAATTTCTAGCCAAGTCCATCTATTTCAAGGCCCTGTGAGACTTGGTAATTTTTTATAGACACTGAACTTGCAACAGGAGGTACCGGGGAAAGGCTAGATTGCTGGCGCAGTAAGGGTTTACACCAGTCGACAGGCTTTCACAGAGTCAAAGAGCAATGAGGTAGGGGAAGCAATCAAATCCTCCACCAAACTGGTGTCTGTTGACGTCGGTGCATTACTCTACTCATCAATATTATCATGTGTTTTCATGCGTTCTCAACCTCAGAAGCTCCTATCACTCAACAAATCTTGTGAGATCCTATTCTTCGAAGAAAATCCAACGTGAGACTAAAATATCTATCTCACTAGGCCCCTACTTCCCTTTACCAACGAACTCGATTCGGAAAAGAAGTGCCTCACGGTGCCCGTTCTAGCAGCCCGAGAACTGCTTCTCAGACCTCTTCCACCCTTCAGAGTAGGCTATAGCCACATAACCAGCAATGCTATAGCCTGACTTCGAAGTGGAGGCCATTGCAGTCTTACCTAATAGTTGGGTCGATACACTGAATTGTGCGGAGAAAGAGAAATGGCCGGAAGCACCCCATGAAGAACTCTAGGCTCACATTAAAAATGGAACCTAGCGAGTTGTTGATCATAAAACTGCTGATATCGGAAGCCACTTGCAGCACACGGACTTTTTATATTAAGATGTTGGCCGGGGCAAAGCTTGTCATGAAGTCTACGCAGTCATTGCTAAGCCCAGGAGGCTTCTTGGGAGATTTCAACAGCGCTTAATTGATATCTACGTCATTTCGATATCAAACTGCATTCCTCAATGTAGAGATATAGAGGGGAGACAGCAAGCGTATGAAGATGTCATTTGTTCCAGTTACCATGTCTATCAAATCAAAGCGAGGGACGACCAGAAAGTCAATATTGTTAGTTACACCCCGTACCAACTGGCCTCAGGTTGAATATATCATTCTTCTAGGTATCAGGATCAGATGGCATTAGAATTTTGCAAAGAAAGACTCCATAGCAGGATTGGGAAAAGTTAGAATGGTATCATCATGTGGTATTCGTGAGATTCATTCATGCTTGTGCAATCGATAAAAGACCCTCTCCATCACATAACGCCGAGAATATAGCAAGGGAAATGGAAACCCGCTCCAGTCCTATCTGCTTCATATAACTCCAAAATTGCAGATAAATCGTACCGTCGCAAGAAAACGCAGAATCACTTTTGAGGGTACCCATCCCCGTGGATACCCACGGCGACAGCGCCGAGAACATCCTCCAGCCGAGTCCTCAACTTTTTCAACTCGCGCACTTTCGCAGCGCGCTCCTTCTCAACGTCTCTAAGCTCGGTCTCCAGCTCCCGGATTCTGGTCTCTTGCTCAGCCTCAGAGGCACCAATTCCAGGAAGCACGGAGATAAGGTACTCGATTTGTTGTTCCTTGATAATGAGATCGCGCGCAAGCTCCCGCTGCCGGCTCGCAAACGTGCTGGGTGAGTCTGGAGCGGGAGGAAGGTTGGGATCCCCGCCTTCTACTGCTGTCCCTGGCGCCCCTGGCGCAGCTCCGGGTTGTTGAGGAGGCGCATGTGGGGGTGATGCATTGCCTGCAACAGCGGCTGCACCCCCCACTTTATTTGCGACGGCTGCTGGGACCGGTGGTGATGATGAGTTCTTGGTGATCTTGGCTAGGGCTGGTGCTGCATTGGGGACATTCGGTGGGGGTGTTGTGGGGGCATTGTCGTGGTATGTTGTGAGATAACCGAGTGTTGCGTAGAATTGTGTTGCGAGCTATTTTCCGTGTGGTGAGCAAGGGTTACAATGTAGGTTCTGTGGAGCGGATTTTACCTGGTCCAGGCAAGTCTGGAGCTGCGTGAGGATGTCAGCCATCGTAACGACTCGAAAAGAAAATGACAGAAGCTTTGGGGCGACTTGGGAAAGAGAAGTCGAAGGTCTGGTAGAACGAAAGAAGCGGAGCAAATGCGGAGGGAAGCTCCAGTGCGGTGAGACGGCCTTTTCTTCCTCACATCACTCAATGCGCCTGTTGCGACTACGCCATGGCCTTGCTGCCGGATACTCTCCCTTGAGACTCCGAACAAATAACTCTCGCTGCTTTTCCAGCTCCCAGGTTCATCATGAGCTGACACCGTTTACTCGCCGGCTCTTCAAACTCCCCTCGGCCCCATCTCCGCCTTCGCAACAACACAATGACCTGACGACCTTTCTCTCCTACGCGGAGCATATTTCTCTTCCAGAAACGAGTACAGTACATGTCGGCACTCACTACGAATATACCGTTCTCCAAACCCTACGTCGTTATGCACTAAGCCTCGACCGCATCGGCGGTCGCGATGACGCCGGCATCGATCTCGTTGGCACTTGGCATCTCCCGGAGCGGGACCGAGAGCGCGCACTCCGTGTGCTGGTACAGTGCAAATCACTGAAGGCCAAGCTGGGCCCTAATGTCGTCCGCGAACTAGAAGGAACCTTCCGCCAGGCACCTGTCGGGTGGCGCACGGCCGAGACGGTTGGCGTGCTGGTGAGCCCGCGCGAGGCAACCAAAGGCGTTCGTGATACATTAGCTCGAAGCGCATATCCGTTGTTCTGGATGATGATTGAGCGGGATGGAACCTTGAAGCAGGCACTTTGGAATGCCCGTGCAGAAGAACTTGGAGTTGGCCCTCTAGGCGTGGAGACACGATATGGAACCACAGTAGACGCCAAGTCTGGCTCGGTTAGAAAGGAAATGCTATTGACTTGGGATGGATGTGATATCCCCGATATGGACCAGGTGGAGCAAAACCTTACTGAGTTTGCCGAGCAATGGGTCGCATCCTGGGGTATGGACTTGTCAGAAATCCAGAAGGGGGAGCTTCTGGACACCGCAGAAAGAGTCCTACCACATGACGTTTCCTCTCAATTGCTCAATAGAACCATATCGGACGCAGACCGGACAAAGGTCATTCAAGCCTTACAAGAGCGGCTACAACAGCGGCCGACATCAGAGTGAACGCTCTACTACCTGAAAAACATGCTATATCCAAGCAGCCATATGGCTGAAATGTATGAAGAATAATTGTATGACTTATGACAGAAAATAATCCAAGGGTATAGAAACACCAACAGCGATAGAAAGACACGGCTTCCAGCCTCCAAAAATAAAACGCCAGTGAATAGACACCCACAAAACCTCCCCCGTCATGATCATCCTTGCATCGTTGACCAAAAGTAGTTTGCGTAGAAGAAGCGGGAGAATTTCGGGTCGATATTGACGACATGAACATCGCCTTTGCGGCTATTGCGAATGACCGCTCGGTTGAAATTGCCCGCCTCATCAGGCTCGATATCAACACCGAGAGAACGGAAGATCTTGAGGCGCAGACTAGACAAACATTAGCAAGAGTATTAATCCAAGAAGAGGATACAGGCACGCACATCGTCGCATCATCAGCTTCACGCTCGCGCCGCGTTGTTTCGTCGCCCTCGAGACCCTGGGACTCCAGGTCGACCAGTCTTTCCTTAAGCATTTCCAGCTCGCTCTCCAAGCGCTCACTTTCAATTTCTAGCTCTGATGCAGCCTTGGCAATGCGGAACTTTTTGGTATCCAACTCCACAATCTCCGCCGCGTGTTTGCCCGAGTCGTGCACGGCCACGGCTTCTTCGTGTTGTGTAGACAGAGAATTTAGGTGGCGTGAAAGTTTTCGCATGGCCGACTCGGCCTCGCGAATGCGCAGGTCGCGCGATTGCTGGAGCGTTGAAAGCGAGTCATTGATGCGGGCGACGGCTTGTTTATCGGGGTGGATGTTAAAGTTGCCGATTGTGTGGTGGATGAGCTGAAACGGTCAGTATATTCATTGGGCTTAAATAATGAGAGTAAATAAAATAGCACATACAGTTCCAGGGTCCTCGTCGAGTAACATGATGTTGGTGGTTAACAAATGTCGAGGGTTGGAAATCGGTTGTTTTGGGTTTGTTGCGGCAGCAACAGCCACAGCACCGCCACATATGTTGCTCCTCCGCAAAGTGACGTTGTGCCTGTGATTTCTCCATCCTCGCTTTTACCTTCTCGTCCAACGCAACCACGACTCTTACTTTTGACGAACAGTTATTGAATTATTGGAAATTTTGTTCTGATCAATATTTATTCCTCTATCTAAAACCCACCGACTTCCTATCTCGCTATGTCCAACCTTCCATGTAGGTGGTCTGTTCCGACTGATGCCTGATGCTTGAAGACTGACTTGCTTTTCCTCTCTAGATGCCGCCGATGCGGAAAGGTTTGTTTTCCGCGAAAAATCTGCCAAAGAAAATACCGGAACCGTAAGAACTGACTTGACTATCACCAACACAGTCCCTTGAAACCCGCCGAGCTACAGGTACTGAGAGCGCAATACGAGAAAGAAGGCGACTATGTCGGAATCCAGACAAAGTTCAACTATGCATGGGTATAGTTTATCCAGCTTTGATCAGGTGTTCCCGCGCTAACCGGTACTCCCCGCCTATGCGGGGGTGGTATTTACTATAGGGTCTGATCAAATCCAACACCCGTTCCGAGCAGCAAGAAGGTGTTCGGCTGCTTTCAGAGATCTTCCGTGGAGCTCCGGAACGGCGACGCGAATGTCTCTATTACTTGGCCCTCGGCAACTTCAAGCTAGGGAATTATGGCGAAGCCCGCCGATACAACGATTTGCTCCTGGAAAAGGAACCCGCAAACCTCCAGGCTGCCAGTCTTGGGGGGCTCATTGATGATAAGGTCGCTAAGGAGGGCCTGGTTGGTGTCGCGATTGTGGGTGGATTGGCTCTCGTCGCGGGTGTCGTTGGTAGTCTCGTGATCAAGGGAGCCAGAAGACGGTAAACGCCCGTTGAGGATTTGTGTGACCTGCAAAGGTTGTGCCAGCCGAAAGGGATACCTGTCTGGAGTATAACCACCTATGTATATTTTTTTGTGTGGGATCTGATTCATTGGCCGTTTGGCGATTTCTTTTCTATTGTCGGAGCATCGAGGGCGTTATCTTTGTCTCTACTCTCTCTCTCTCTCTTTTTAACCCACCACCAGGGTGGTGGTATGCTACATAACTGCCAATCGTACATGACCCAAATTTATTCCGTGTATACACGTAGGTTTTAATAGCAAACCAATTCCGTCACATTCGTAGATTGCTATTTAGTATATATCTCAGCATCGAAGCTCACCACACTGCAATATCGACAGTGTCAATTACTGATTCTCTCCAATCTGAACAATCTTCCCAGTCTCAACTTCATACACATAGCCTGTGATTGGAACATCCAAGACAAGCGGACTATCCTTCAATATCTGAATATCATCCCGAACACTCTGCTCGAGATCCCCGAAGGGCAAAAACGCAATGTGATCGGCGTTCTGGTGTAGCTCCGTACGGATCTTGTCTCTGATTACATCTTCGGTGAAGGTGAGCATTCCACAGTTTGTCTAAAGATAGTCAGCAATTAATTCATAAGTTGGTAAGATGTAGGCCAAGGTCGAGGCTTAGTCTTAATGATTTGTAGGGGTTGTGTACATGATGCACGATAACGATCTCGCGGGTGCCCAGCAGCTGCTGCGAAATGATGACGCTGCGCAGTGCATCTGAGGCTCTGCCGCCGGCATTGCGGATTACATGGGCATCTCCTTCTTCAAGACCGAGGGCGCGGGCGGGATCTATAGATCAAATAGTAGACGTGAGTATCATTCTCGTGTATTAGAAATATCGCAGAGTATACGGACCAAGGCGCGCGTCCATGCAGGCCACCACGGCTACCTTTCTAAAATTGAAGAAATAGAGTCAGATTTGTCTTTCTGTCGGATACTAGTGTAGTAAAAGTTAGGGCTTGAACGAGCGCTATCAACGTACCGCTGTGGGGGTAGCTGCAGGTCGCCCTTGGTGAAGGATGCGACATAATTGGCATTGGCTGCTTCGAATTCCTTTGCGACAGACATGATAATTTAGTATATTTCGAATAGATTAATTTAGAGGACCTTTGGGGCTGATCGTGGTATATAAAGAACATGCACACCCCGCTTCTGATGTGATATGGCGGAAGAAAGGCAACATAGTTTGCCTATATCCTTCGCTCAAAATCAAATTTTTGAGTGAACAATAATCTTTAGTCCCTATTCCCTTCGTAAGTTGAATTTCCAGGGAGTATGGGTTGACTAGAGTTTGTTACAAAGCGTTGTTCCTATTGCAGCTCATTCATATATCGTGACATTTGCCATACATGAAGTTGAAAAAGAATAGTTCTAAAATGAACACCACAGGCATTCCCGGGGAGCCATAGAAGGGAAGGGAGTATCGCTAGTCTAGCTATGAGCTACTGATTACTTCTGGTCCTGATAGGTTGTGGATGTAGCGATTATTTGCAATTATTGCTACCCAATCGATGCTAAATATAGACATCCAGATCAAGCCTCAAACTCCTTCTTTGCAATCTGTTCACAAATGTCACGCAAGACAACGCCAACAGCTTCAAAATCACTTGTCTCCAAGTAAGTCTGGCCACTTAGACGAGTCCACAGCCAAGGCCCATGGCGGAAAACAGGCAGGAAAGTGTTATGGACGTCCATTAACTGTGTCTGGATCCAAGAAAATACCTTAGGAGCTTCTTCCTCGGTCAAAACAACCAAAGGGGTATGGCCAAGAGGTTCAGCTTCCTTTCCGGCAGCAGCAACAGCAATAGGCAGCCGGATCGTAGTCATGGCACACTGGCGCATACGGCTTTCTTGGCCAGGCTTCAGATCAGGCTCTTGCATGACCTCAGTACCGAGAGCGGCAGCGACAGCGTCTGCACCTTCATTTGCAACACGCTGGATGTAGGAAATAATAGCATCCTCGCCTCCACAGACTTCGGCGCGGAATTTCAGTGCTGCCGGGACGCAGATGTATGCGGAGTCATCACTGGTGGCGACGAACTCGAAGAGTTGCTCGAAGGCAGTCTTTGTCACGGGAGCGTTGGGGTCTTGCAACACTGAAGCCATAGTCTCGGGAGAGTCCGGAGCTGGGATAAATCCCCAAGATGTTGGCATGGTAGTGCGCAATAGATGCTGGTTACGTCGGGGGGTGTAGAGGACTGCACAGCTGCGGGGTGTGTAGAGCCATCTTTATGAAGGCGAGTTAATATTCATGAGGTTGCTTAATTTATTGGAAAGGGTAGGATAAATGGGGATTAGTTCATACTTGTGACAATTTGATACGAAGAAGTCAGGCTGAAGCTTCTCCATATCGAGATGGATAATTCCGATGCCGTGCGCAGCATCGATGACACTCAAAATACCTTCTTCGCGACAGATTGCAGTAATCCGTTCGAAGGGGAATCGTACACCAGGGTTACTGACGATAGCGTCAAAGACACTGGCCCGGACCTTGAGTCCCTCTTCACGAGTTTGGCGAATAACCTCGCGGAAACGGCGTTCTAGCTCGTCTTCGGTAATGGGAAACTGGAAAGACACTTTTCGGGCTTGCAGAGAGCTATGCTCCTGTAGCGAGACAACACCCTTCTCAACAGCACCGTAGACGGGCTCAAAGTAAATGAGTGCCTCACCTGGCTGGAAAGCCAAGTTATACAGTACTGTCGCCACGCCTGTAGTCGCATTTTTAACAAACACGCACTCATCCCGCTGAGCATTGAGGAGCTTTGCGACAGCCTCACGAGCTTTGTCCAGATGCTCTGCGTGGTATCGGCGGATATATGGATCTGGTCGCACATCGGCGAGATCCAGGAACGCACGCTGTGCGTCCTTAACAGGAATCGGATGAGCACCAAACGATCCATGGTTCAGGTTCTTATAGGCAGGATCGAACATCCAGTGCTTCAGCATCGGCTTGCCGAAGGGAGTTGATTGAGTGGTCGTAGCCATGTTGGGGAATTCAACAAAGTTTGGAAATAGTAAGTTTGGAACACCACAACTTCGGCAAGAAGAGACTTTAAAGACAACTCTGAAACGCAATGACTCAAGCTTGTTTTACGACAACTTTGTCGTTGCTTCAAACACCGAGGTCTGATTCGTAAAAATACAGGTGAGTCACGCCGAGCCAATGACAACCCCTCTTGCGATGCTAACCGGAGATCCACATGCCGCCGAAGGGCGTAGAAATAGAAAATAGATTGCCTGTCATACAAAGCTGAGATAGGAGATAAGAATGTGCATAAGATTAGTATGTTGATTGTCATTGCTTGCATTGGCAGACTTGTATAGTAGATCTTGGAGACCATGACAATGCTGTCTTTTGCTTAACAGAACAAAATGAGTAGTTCTATAGTTCATCCCAATACAATTGTTAACATACAAGGTGAATGGCCCTTACTATATTGTAATAGATTAAATATCCCGGGGTTTGAATATGTTGAAAGGTAGTATATGGGTCTATCTGTTATGCCGTTTCGGATTCACTCTATATCTAATAATGTATAACGAAACCAAGGGAGAAACAAGCCAATTAAATTGTACCATAATATTACAAGAATAATTTCAATGATATAGATGTATTTCTAATCATCAGAAATGCCCAATTTCAGGAATCGGCAGCAAGGGACAACCATCATTATCGCAACCAATATACGGCACGTTATTTCCCCACCAGTTGATATCTACAGCATGGAACTGAACAGCAAAGAAGATCACCAGACCAGCAATACCAATGCCACAGGAGAACGAAGAGCTAAGCACATAGGCATACTTCTGCCACCACCCTTCGTAGCGACGCTTCACGTAGTAGTTGAAAAAGTATCCAACGACGAGAGCTGGCCAAGCATAGGTGAAGTTGTACGGGGCCCATAGAAGAATACCGGACATCATGAGAGGAATATTAATATATCGGACCCAAGAGTCCGGGAAGCGCTTAGCGAGGAAGTAGAATGGGACGGGGAGAAGAGCACCGACAAGGAAGCCCCATTCCAGAGGGTGGTAGATGCCATGGTCACCGTAGATGCGTGCAGGGCCAATAACTCCCCAGATAACAGATGCAGTGAAGAATGTGTGAGTGTCTAGAAATGTTAGCAATCTATATTCTGTATAGTAGTTCCCCGGATGAAGGGGTATTTACCAGGACATGTGAATTTTGATGATTGATCAGAAGTGCAAATACCCTCAATATTGTTCATCTGCCAGGCATTGACTCCAATCGACACAAAAGCAGCAATGATAGTGGCAACAGTCTGGGCAGCAAACATTGTGCGAGGAGGGATCTTCATGTAGTGGCCCAATTTGAGATCAGCGACAAACTGAATGGACTGTGCCGACGCGATGTACCCATATGACTTGAAGATCATGTTTGCGATTGGTTTGTTTTTCACAGCGTAGCCACCAATAAACTCGGCAATAACATTGTTGGTGACCTCGACATTGGTGACGGCCAGAAGGATTCCAATGGGAATCTGCAAGAAAATACAGAGCAGCAATCCAACAACAATTCCCCAGATCGGCATCCCGGTGTCGTAGATGCTGCAGCAGACGCACCCGAAAATGAACGCGATGGCTAGGATACACAAGTACCACCATTCTGGGGCCTCTTTGTACTCACGCATGAGGCGGTTGTGCACATCGTTGTACTCATTTCGGGCGTTCGACCACTTGAGCACCGCACGGAAACCAGCCATGATCTCTCGTCTGTAGTAAAGTGCTGCATACACAATGGTTGCCAGGTAGATGGCGAAGGAACCGGAGTACCGGACTGAATTGGCGGCGCCAAGATAGGCTTGGCCGTATAGCTCGTAGCCTTTTTCGTCGAGAGTATATTCTGGAGTGAGGATCCGGCTAACGTTATAGCTATTGCCAGTATTGTCAAAGACATCGTTGCTGTTGATGGGGAGATAGGCGGAATTCCACGCATTGGAGAAGTACACAGGTATAATGATCACAAGGCCAGATAGAGCCATGCCGATCACGCTGTTCACCAACGAGAAGAATGGAGTGACAATCGGATCCCATGCATATGAGATAATGTTCCAGTCAAAGGTAGGGAGAGGATTGAATCCCATTCCACCAATCGAGCCGGTGATGATAGCCAGTTTGATGTTTTCCGGTGCAATCCAAGTCATCCAATTGAAGTAAGATAAGGCCTGGAAAATGTAGTTAGGGAACCAGAAGTAGAAGAACATTCCACCGAAGGCGTACAGAAAGAATCGATAGCGAGACATCGTCCATCCGTGCATTGACTCTGATTTGCCATCATTGTGTAGAGCTCGGTTGAGGGCAATCTGGGCTAGGTTCTGGGGCCACAACATGGCGGGAGGATAGACTAAAAACCGACGTGTGATACCAGCACATCCATAACTAATCAATTGGGTCGATAGGGTTAGCAGAATTTGGAATCCTGCACTGTTGGCCAGTTCCTTAATTCCATAGAATATGTCCAGCTTCAAAACTTGGAAAATGTATGTCACGTAGGCGGTTCCATTGAGGCCTCCATAAGCGACATTGGACATGATAGTAATGATCATGTGCTCCTTTTGGTTGAAAGGACCCGGATTCAAGCTGCAGTTTTCCCCAAAGATACTGTAGGTGGTGGTTGGTAGAACCTGAGCGAGGAATACACCGCAGGGATAGGCTACTAACTGAGCAACAACAGTATAGAGATAAATTCCGGGATATCGCAAAGAGAAGAACTGATCTATACCAGTCCCCAAGATTGTGAAAATGATACCGAGGAACCATGCACGGAAGGTATTGACTGGCGTCGAGGGATCGTCGGTGTTGTTAACCACTGCACGAACTTCAGCGTAGGGCGAGTCATTGAGCAGAAGGTCCCGTTCAGCCTGGATCTCAGCTATAAGACCCTGAAGGCGGGTTGTTTCTAGCTTGTCGGGTGTCTCTCGCAGCGCAGCACGAGCCGAGGTCAAGATCTCAGTGCGGAAGTTGGGATCCAACTCATGATCTCTGATAGTTTCGCGCAGGATGTTCAACATTTCTGATAGATCTGAACCGGAAGCTTCGACAACGGCCTGGATTTTCTCCACATCAAAAGGGGTCACCGCTGTGGTTTCGTAAAGACGACCATCTTTTTCTGAGTCTGCCATGGCGGTAATGGAACTAGGTGGACCCTGGATGATATCAATGCAGGGGGTCTTTGTTAGCCTGCAGTTGTAGACAAGTCGCAAGTGACCGTCTTGAACCACAGGAGTATAGCCATGTTTTATATCAATTGCGCGAACAACACCACTGTATGGATTCTTTGCACAATCCAACAGCTGTCCGCCGGTGCTTTGGTCAATAGGACCAGATAAGGCGAGTATCAGATTTCCGCCAATGAGACTAAACATTCAGATCGGTTTCATGTACATCAATTCAGTCGAATTGGTAATATGATGGTTAGCGCCGGAGTTGGTGAGCAAGCTTCTCACTAGCGTTGCTAATTAGACTTACCGCAAGCCGTAATTAGTCCTTCCGCTATCTGAAAGCTTGGTTCTCGGACTAAGAGTCTCTAGTGCGCTGTTCGGGGTTCCACCTCGAGGCGACTTGAGAAAATGAGGGTGAGTTATAGGTACCTCCAGGGCTACCTAATTAGGAAGCAGCCAAGGCCAGTCAGGAAGAAGCTATACATTTATATCGACCTCTACAGCTCTATATTCTGTATTAGAACCCCATTAGGGTTAGTGATTAAGGAAATTCAAGATATGTAGTTCCTATTTAATATTGTTGCAATTTCGGGTCAATCTGACGAGCTTTGCTTTTTTAAAAGTCTCGCCGGGCTGCTAGCCCAAACTATTCCAAAGCAACCAGTACTACGCACTCCGCACTCCGGACGGAGTATTTTGTTTGTGAACGCTTTGAAACAATCCCCTCCGGATCCACCCTCAACCCGTCGGAGTTCCGCATTCTCTAGTGGTGAAAGGTGTGAGAGATAGCTAGTCAGCACTCTCTTTTTGCTTATTGCAATACTTAATCGTGACTGTCTTCGGTCAAACATGCTTGACAAGAAGATCTGACCACCGAAGCCATTTTGGCCTAACGATCAGGGAGAGGCCCATTGCGCAGAACTCCCGAGGGATTTACGGGCGACTAAGTGTGAATGCCACCGGGGGCCAGAACCTTGGTGATGCTGGGCATTGAAATGACACAGAACTGAATGCAAAAGATGATATAACCTCCAGTTGATTCGTACCAGAACAGAAAGTCTTTCTGGTTGGAAAGAGATTTAGCCACCAGAAGAAGCAATTCATTTGGCAGTAAAAGCTTGTCATGTCTATGGCGCTCCAGATGATCCGAAACCGGATACAGTGGTGGGACACTTAGTCGCCCGTAGTGATTGACAACCGCTCCGGCAATAGCATATAAATGCAGCGGCCTCAACTCCTCGATCAATTTAAAATCTGGGCACCTCCGTAACCGGTAATTTGGCCGTGCTCTATCGACCTGGCGACTGGGTCGTGCACAGCGGGTGCTAAAGGCCACTGCTCCACCAAGGTACAGGATCTGATCAGATGTAACCATAGCACATACCCCCGGTGAAAATTTAAGAGGTTAATGAGCCCTTGTTGACGAATATTCGAAATTAATTATTCAATTTGGGACATGGCAATCTTCGGCCTTACGACCAGCGCCAAAAGCGCGGTGGCGGATTGAGCTTGCGCGTACTAAGTCGGTTAGCTTGCGTGCAATTAATTGGAAGTAATAACAACAATTAGCCGTGAAAGTGGCTGCATATTGGGCGGCTTGCGCGGGATCTTTGGACACTCCCATTCGATTGCTCCATGGCTCAAGGTAGGAGACTCGTGTAAAACTGGATGGACGGATGGGACTTTGTTTCGGTGACTTTGGGCAGTCGCTGTCAGTACAAACAATTCGGCTACAGTCAATAGTCTGAATTGCCGGGTCACATGCCCTGTGTTCGTGTATGCATTATATATTTACAGGTGAAGATGTGCGTTATAAATCACAAAGATTATCGAAATCCCAAGGCACACTAATTGTTGCCTGACGAAGAGCTTTTTCAACGCTCTGCCGTCGGAATACCGGTCCATTCCCAACGCATGTGGCTTCTTTTGAGAGGGCTACAGTGGTATTAGTATATCTCTTCTTCAAGGGGGACCGTTCCCAAGAACTCACATTTGATGAATGCTGTTGAATCAAGTGCTGTAGAGGCCGAATAATCAAGACGGCCAGAGGAATCGGGAAAGTTGTCAAGAATCACCCTCTTGTCGCGCAGGTATCCTTGCACTCCACTGGCATCCATCCAGTCACCAGAAGTTGATTCGAGCGCAATCTGCCATATCTTAGACGGGACCTGGAGTTGTTCATTCGAGAACATGTTCATATTGGCTTGCAGGGCGTGCAGTACACGGGTCTTGGAGTCTATCAAGGCACCCGTCTTGTCCTGCATGACAGCGTAAAATGCCGAGATCATACGGTTGCGTTCTGGCAGGCTCAGAACAGAACCAAACACACGTTGGACTGTAGGGCTGTGTGGATTGTCGACAAGAAGGCGATATCCGCCCAGACAGCAAGTCCGGACTAGACGTTGTGCGATATTCCACTGCTTGTCAGGCGTTATATTACTAGAGAGTAGATCTAGTGTTGGGGAGTTCGATAATGGTGGAGTGATATGAGAAAATTGAGGAAATTGAACAGTAGATGAGGGTATGACGAGGTCGAATGGCAATATAGATTGACCTTCATATGGTGGAGTAGGAGGGGGCGGGCCATCTCGTAGCGACCGATCTTGTTATATCCTCGACATCTGTTGAAGCTTCTGAATATGAGTTATCCAGAACTGGTGTCGGAGCTGTATTATTATTTGTGATTTGGAACTCTTTTGCGGTCTGAGCGAGGGGGGAGGGGTCCTTCAGACGGATCATCGCTCCCAGCCTTCGCAAGCGACACGCATTGCTGAGTTATGTTTTGAAGAGCCGACGCAATATGCGGGTATTGTGAGAGGAGTTGCTCTTCTATAAGAAGACTACTGAAGGAGAGGAAAGATTGGCTGATATTCTCGATGCCGGTTTCTAATTCGTGTACGCGATTCTGCAGGTTACCGATCGTGGTCTCCTTTCTTTTGCGATATGCCTGCTGCGCGAGGCGGAGTTGTTTGCGACGTCTCTAGAAATTCACGATTATAAGCAACGCCACTTGGAGCGTTGGAATCTGACCCACCTCTGGCACTTCTTGCTCGTTGGTAACAGTTCGAGGACGACCGCGTTTGCGACCAGTCGGTTTAGCCGTTTCTTCACCCATTGTTTTGTCTGGAATTAGATATGGAGAATATCTCTGTCTCAAGCTATATTGAAAATTTGCAGCCCCTTTGACGGGATCCTTTCGAAGAATGACAAATGCAGAGGCGACAAGATGATTAGACGACTAGCGTCGGAGTGTTGAATAATCGAAAAATCAGGCACGGCGGGATGACATAAGACACTTGCATGTCCCACGGGTAGGTGATTAAGGGTCCATGGATACCTAGGTATATTGAAGGCCCCTATTGGTCAGTCTACTTAACATTGACGATGGACCCACTATCCTCTCCTTAATTCATACTACCTAGATACATACCTCGTAGATGAACTGTCAAACAGGTATTTGCATGTTAGAGAGTATCGGGATAACCAACGTTGAATGAAGCTCGAAAGAACACGGCACACCCGGCCTATTTATATTAGATTTCCTTTTCAAATGTTTGCCCTACTGGCCGCAGAAGACACTTGGAATAGAGATCAAGGGAACTCGAGGCCTTGTCCACCTAAATTTTTTTTTTACATGAATGGGAGTGGGACGTATGGTGGGTATAATTCCTATAGCGGTGTCCCACCATATTTCATTATCAAAATCCCCGATGCTATTCCTCCATTGGACGCGCCGCCTACATATGTTATCACCTAGTTTCTCGCACTTTTGTGTCCATTGTGGCTATTGCATCCATCATACTTTTAACTCTCCATTCATGTTTATACGTATCGGAAAGAAAAGGAGGTAGAAGTGTCCTCTAAAAGGCCAGCTAAGCTCAAGAAAAAAGTACTATAAAATCAAATAAATTAAAATACAGCAATTATCAAGAGAATATAGAGGTGAGAAGGCGCATGAGCTGGATCAGCTCTTTCAACTCTCATCCCTATCCTAGCTGTGTGCGTCCTCATCATCCAAGTCGTTGTCGTCCGTATCCTCACTAAATGTATCTTCCACTCTATCTTCTACATCCGATAGGTCCAAGAGCTCCGCAAATTCCAAAGATTCCAAATGTGGCATATTTTCAGATAAAGTCTCAAACCCCGGGATATAAAGGATGGCTGGTATCTCAATTCGAACATCCAACAAAGTCGGAAAGAGCTTCTAGATATGCAAAAACAGCGGTTAGTCATGTGGCGCAGCAGATGATAGCGGGTAAACGAACCAGAGTCCGGTCAGCGAGACAGTCCCATTGATTTGGATATAGATAGATGGGCCCACTCGAATGGTCGACATGAAGTACCTGGAGATTTGGCATGTTCAAAATGGGGGTGCGGATACCCTCCTAGGTTTCCATGTTGTGAAAGACTAGAACAAGACGTAAAGTGTGTATCTGCGGGAATACCACATTTTCCAGAGCTGTCTGTACCACTGATTCAGTCTCCTGGCTGTAGGTTATGAGAGTCGCAGTCTTTACAAAGTTGGCATAAATCTGACGGCGATCGGGGGAGATGTTTATCATGACCTCGTCGAGGGGTTTACCATCTGCTTCCATATCGCCCTATAAGATATGCAGCGCTCTATTGTACCGTGCCTTATTTACCAAGGCGCAGTTCAGTAACCAACGTGTGTGATGCCAGATTCTCGTAGGGTACTGGTCGATCGAAAAGAAGATTTCACCCACGATTTCCGGAAGGGCCAAAGCTCGATGGGCAGTGGAGATGACGCTTTTGTCAATCATATTGGAAGGGTTGTTGGAAAAGAAAGACATGGAGGGGATAATGGAATTCCAAAGCAAGAAGTTGATATTCAGAGTGAGATGCCTCATCCGGAATTTTCAAGGTTTTATTTCGCAAACGGCTCCGTAAAAGAGCCATAGATTACGGTACCCTCCGCTTCCTATTCTGATTTATAGAGAGTAAATGGTATCTCAACCAACCCTGCTTCTTCTTACATAGCAATCTCTTTTGATTTACTTGATTCTCTTGATGCTCAGGTTTATGCCCTCCCAGGTTTGTTTGAAATACTTACAGTTGTCTACCTCGTGATGTAGACCGGTGTTTGTGCTCTTCTTCTTTAATCCCTCATCCTCACGATTGTATAGAAAGACTCATTATGTATGTAGAGCACGCATGTGCCATCAATTGGATATTCACGTTTGACATCTATGAATGATAATAGTAAAGTGTAAACAAGAATATAAGGTGCCTCTAACCGCCCAAATGCTGCGGCTGTTTCGTGAGCCGTCAAAGTCATCGCTCATGTGTCATGTCCAATAAAAATATAAGCAAACGCCGGGTCCGATGAAGTCATCAATAATAATACAAACGCGGATACGTCCAAGCCAATGCAATAACACGCCCAAAGAGAGCACACAAGACACTTGCCATTTCAGGAACTGGCGATTTGCACTGCCCACCGATTGAGTAGCATGAGGACTGAAAGTTGTCGCTATGGCTTCTCTAGTTGGCGTATTGGTAGAAGTAATGGTAGTAAGGGGGTTGGTTGGTCGAAGATGTAGTTCTGCTCATCACTTGAGTCGAATTCCTCGCAAATCTCAACGCCAGAGCGGGAAAAAGCAACCGAAGAAAAAGGCAACACTGCTGACACAAAGCGGAAGGTAGACTATTGGGGAAAAGATTCGACATTAATGGGTGAATTTAATCAAAGAGGGATTTGGGGGATTGCTCACTCATTGAGCCTCCACCTGGTGGCATGTTTTGGCCAGAACCAGACTCCCAGTCATATCCTGTTGACGAGGCCAAAGGAGAGCCGGTCGCCACCCAGGGCCAGACATTTGGGGTGACCCAGCTTGAGGTTTCCTTGTGGGTTCCGCTCCAGGGAACGGGGACGCTGTCGATGGTTGCAGTAATTACAGGTGCGGACTCGGTCGACGTGGGCTCAGCGGCTTTGTTGCCATTAACCGATCCTCCTTCTGCGACGATTGACTGCCATGAGCCACTTTTGTCACCGTATCTGTACGAAGTTCCGGTAGAGTAATCAGTCACAGTCATAGACTTCATATACATCTTGAAGGGGCCTTGGCTATAGTCTGTTTGGCCACCAGCCCAGTCTGAACAAACACAAGCTGTTAGCAAGCCTGATAAAGGTACTTTCCAGGACAGTCCCACTCACCAATAGTGCCCTGGGCATTGTTCGGGTCACCGCCAGCCCACACACCGACCTTGACCATCATCGGGCTCTGTGGGTACTGGTTGGTTTCTGCTGTCTCGGGAGTGAGAACGCGGACGGTCTTGCCATCAATGGACCACACGATCTGGCTGCTGGTCCAGTCGATGGAGAAAGTGTGGAAGTCGTCATGGTTTCCGGAATTGTCGTGGAAAGCGCCACGGCTGAATGAACTTGTATCTCCTTTGCCAAAGTAATTGGTCTGCACTTGGGCGTTGTTACCACCCAGCCACTCCCAGTCAATTTCGTCCAGATCGTCGGACTGCAGAACTGCACTGCTCACGATTCCCGTCCCTGCTGCTGCCTTGATGGTGCATTCCACACGGCCGAACATAATGTACCAGCCGGACTGAATCAACGGGCCATCGCCCTGCTTAGCAATAGTAAAGGTTGCACCATTTGTTTGGTCATATGTGACGGAGCCAGTCGACTTGAAAGCATCCGATGCGCCGCTGGTGAAATCAAACGTCTTGTCAGATTGGCCAAATGCAGGATCAGCGGGACATGCTGCTGGATGTTAGTGATCTGTTGACATAAATGTTATGATAAGCCTTACTCTTCTGTGTTGGATTGCAATCGGTATAGGTCTGGGCCACGACTAGTGTGGAAGACAGCAGGCTCAGGGCCGCACCAAGAATGAACCGCATGGTGGGCCAAGTAGAGTAAGTAAGTTATAAGTAATCTTGCAAACTATTATGCAATAATGAAGATGAGAGTTGATACGAAAGGGTAACAGATGAGGAGAGAAAAACGGGGAAGGATTTCAAGTAAAGGGGAGTACAACAAACGGTCTTAAACAACTTTGAACTTTGGGAAGGTGCCAGCCTCCTCTTTCTGTGGCTTCTCTTTTTGGTCGATCCGTGGGTCCCCGGCTGTCATTCAACCAATCACATCCCATCTCAGATCGAGGTTATGCCCACAGGTGGATCAGTGGTGGGCCAGGGAGAGAGCTACGCCACGTTGTTCCATGGAGTCTCTACGGAGTACATGTAGTCATTCCATGTAAGTAGTCCCCCGTAAACTTGACGGGTGTGTAGTTCAAATTCCAATATGCATTCTCAGCCTGAGTGTGCATGTGTATGTACAATGGTTATTCTGGATAGTGCGTGGCACAGAGCACATTCGATTAGGCATCTGAGATCGAGATCCTTGGAAGATGTACAGAGTACTTCGTACATAGAGATTCATTCGATGAAACCAGTCTGCCTGAAAAACCAAGGAAAAGCGGCAAGGCCCAAGCAAAATTAATCGGTGGCAGGGTACACACGTAGATTAGGACCCACAACCCCCAGCCTCTCGCATTTAGTAGTCTTTACTCCGTACGGAGTACACCACTTATTATTAGCGATGTGATCTCATATTTAAGATTTTTTCTGCAGGATATTAATTCATACTCTGTACGGAGTCCTTATCTTCTATCCGAAACAAATATTTACTCGTACTGACCAATAGTCGTGATTTCAATGTTCGGGCCAGGGCTGCCTACTATTGGGCAGACATCTCCCCATTAGCTCTAGCGGCCTAATGAGTGACATGAATTTAACGGCCAACCTTGGCTATCCTTTTAATATCTGTAATTTTTGCTTAATGGGCACTCTAGTTAGGCGCAGGAGTAGCACAAGAGGCTGGTCTAGACTTTGGGCGATATAAAGGACATAAAGCCGCCGATCGATGTTGGCGATCGATGTAAGGGCGATCTGCCGGGTGACGAATTGAATCACGACAATGGGAGGAAAAAATAGTCCGATAGCTGTGGGCCCTATCATGTCTCGATCTCGATCTCGATCTCGATACTTATAACTTGTTCTATTTAGATATCGCACCTAGGCCCCTGTACAACTATGCAATGATCTCGTGCTGTCTACTCCGTATCCTAGTCTATTGCCTCGGCCACTACCTTATTATTCCACTTACACCACACCACTATCCTTTCGGCTATACCAACACTACTAGGTAGATTTCAACATTCTCATTTGATCTTTTCACCATGTGTGATCTCTTTCTCTTCGGGAACGAAGGAGTCCGTCTTGCCGAAAAATTGCAATCATGAGCGGCGGTAACAAAGCCCTAGAGCATGAGACGGCTCGTCTGATCATCACCATTGGCGACAAAGCTATGGGTAAGGCGCCTTCGCTGATCTTTGAACCGAAGCTGAAGTCAACGGGAATTCCACCGACGAAACTCATGCAAATACCAAGTGGGCCAAGCTAGATCTCAATTGTTATGTTCAGGCGTTCACACGTAAACTTCAGGTTTGTAAGCTTGGCATCCTACCTAGGTAGTTTACAATTCGAGGTCAACGGCATGGGAAAATGACGCAAAGTAAATCCACGCTCCACTTTCCTATATCTGTACTTTGTACTCCGTACACACTCCGTAGGGTCCCTGAACTAGCGGTCTCCAGTGGATTGCTAGACCCATTTCTTGGTTGTGTTCAATCTGATTCATACTTTGGGGGAAACCGCTAGGAAGTGAGGATCTGCTACTCCGTGGTTCAATCATATCCTTGAACTCTAGAAGAGGGAGGTGTTTGTTCATGCTACTAGCTACTACCACTGTTGGCAGAGACAGTCATAGCAAATTCGTCCAGAAGGTTTAAATCAATACTCATATTTAGATACTTTCGCGAAGAAAAAGATATGCTTTAGGTCCTCCATCGCGCAGCGATGGAAGCAGCTACCCGATGTGGGTTTAATCTAGCTTACCTGTATCTCAAGACTTTCTTTAGCCAGATCTGTTATGTATAGTACTAGAACTCTAGTTACCAAAATATCAGAGTCCATGGCTTTTATTTTGTAATCATGTTCTTTTCAATGTAGATTGTGGAGAGGATAGATATATCACAGGCTAGGCAGATTGCAACAAATGGAAAACGAGCTGTGCAACGGTAGCAGTACATTTCTTGGCAATTCGAGCTGTCACCTTTTAGCGAAGGCCAGAAAAAAAAAAAAAAAAAAAAAAAAGAAACAAAAAGACAATGTGAGTACAACCCTGGAAGTGCTACAGGGATTCTTTGTCACAGCCTCGATACCTCGAGAGTTGAATGACCCCCGGGGCCGGGATGACGATCCAATGACTCGACTATACTTTGTAGAAGGCCATGGAATGCAACAATGGCACACGTATACGGGGTAGATGGCTACATTATATGCATCCTATACGAGGAAAAGCGAAAAATAGAACAGACAGTACGGAGTAAAAGTGAAGAACAAAGACGGGGAGAGCTCCACACCCGGGCAGTCTCCTTGTCAAGCACGGACAGCACGGACCACGCCCAATGAAAATGGTTATATCTATAGAAATATTCAAAAGCGATGAAGAAATAAGAAAATGAAGAAATGAAGAAGAATACAAAGAATTAGTCTCAATACCTAATCTACAAGTAAATCTACAAGTTTCAAGGCTGAAGATATTCCCAGGGTATAGAAGTGTAGAAGAGCCTCACTCCGACGGTCTAGTGCACCCGAAGCTCATACGGGTTTCTTCTTCCTCCATCTCTTTCTTATTATATGAATCTCATCCTGAGCTTCAGATCTTTTTAATTCTTATTATTTTGCATATATATATATATATATATAATAGGGATCCTGGCTTTGTTCTCGATCGTCATTACGTTGATCCGCCTTTGTCACGAGTCACGACTATCCCCACTCTTCGTCTTCCCCCCCAATTAACCCTCTGGACCTCAATTATCACCCCGTTCGCCTTGCCAGTATGCGCCCGGGTTGCCTTCAACCACAATCTCTTCCTAAAACCTCATGAAATAACGCCCCATTTTGATACTCACGCCCGACGCTAGACTTAAGCCCTCGGTCTGCCTCAGATTTTCATACGCCTTCCTTATCCTTACGCCCCCGCTAGCCTTCCCAACTCCTTCGCGCTCTTGGTGTTAACCCACTCATTTGCCTCGTCTCAGTTTCAGATCGAATGTCCTGCAGACTTTCTCCCAGCTATTAGACTCTCTACCGCGTCGCCGGGTCGGCCTCCACAACGTGGCGTCAGCACCCGAGAGAGCAGAATTGACAACCACACGTTGCAGCTCCCCCGGTCGCCCACACCATCCGATTATCATCGGTTCTTTTAATGCTGGACGGTTCTGACCCATCACTACACCCCAAGGTACAGCTGGCTGCAACTTGACTAGGGTTGCCGTGGTGGCATTCGGCCGATTATGAGCGCAGCCATGCCGGCGCGGGACCGCAATCAACCCGACAACCGTCAGGGTTCAGAAAGCTCTGGAAATAGCTGGATATCGCAAGATACCGTGCGAAACTCCGCGAGTCTGTCTCGAGATCAAGACGAGGCCTCTACGGGAGGTCAAAATGCCGACCCGTTTCCGGGTTCCTTCAAAATGGACACCAAGTAAGCTTCTGTTTCTCCAAGTCTTTATACGTGATCACGGCGCGTCGAACCCAAGCCCAAAAAGGAAGAGGCGCTAACGAGATTTTTTTCTCTCTCCAGGCCCGACTCCTCGAGACCCCCTCGGATTGATTGGGGAAATTCCATGTGGTCATGGAACTCCCCCGATATTTCCCCCACCGAACAACGCAAAGCCTCCGGCTTTAGCAATCATCGCGAGGCTTTGATGGTCCCGAACAACCGAAATAGCCCGTCTCAATCAACATTCTCGAGTCCCCGACCTCCACCCCTTCACCCATCTCGCGCCGAGTCCGATGAGATCGAATCGATTGCCCCGTGGTCCACAATCCCCAGCAGTGGTCAGCCAGATGCCAGTGGTACTTTTTACCATGATTACTCCGAGCATGAAGCTTCGCCTGCATCATTCACATTTCGACCCACGACCGGACGAACAATCGCAAGCGAACCCGCTGAGTATGAATACCATGGGGAACATCGCCGGCCGTCTGCTGCAAGCGCAACCACAGTCAGTAGCCAGGGGTCTAGATCTAGTATCAGCCAAAAGTTCAGAAAGAAGCATTTGAAAGGTCTACTTGGAGATGACTATCATTCGCCTGGGGAGCTTCAAACCGATGAGGATGGCTCCCAGAACCCGCCGAGCAGGCGTGGGGGACCAGTTGACCAGTTGAAGGCCCGCGAGAGAGCGAACTCAGATGGCTCGCGTAATACGTCCGAGGGCTCCAGCTCGCAACGTCCCCAGAGGTCACGGGCAAATAATCCTTTGCCCTCTAGTGACATCACTCCATGGGATTATCAGAGCTTTAATGACATTCCGCAGTATGGGGAGGCGCCGGTGCGCCATGTACCCATCGGCCCCGATGGACAACGTCTCCCATCTTCGGAGAATGGTTCCTTTGGGCAGAGGGAGCCAAGCCGACGAGGACCTGGCAGGCATCGTTCCTCACGAAGCAAGGAAGAGAACCCGACTCTTGCTGGCGATCTGGCATGGTCCCAACCCCGACCTACTACCGGCAGAGACGACATTGGACTGCGGCCGTTTAATGAGAACTACTTGCATTCGTCGACTGACATGAGCGACACCACTGCAGCTGGGGGCCGGTCGACAAGCCCAACACCCAGTGTGCGTAGCGCATACCGAGACCCTGATCAGAATTCACAGCATCCAAGAATCGGCGGGTTCATAAAAAAGATACTCGGGAAGTCGCATGACAAATCAAGGAACTCTTCCCCGCCGCGACGTGATAGGCAAGGAAGCGTCGAAGGAAGT